TCTGTACAATCAAGGTCGCATTTTCCCTCATATGCGTCTTGATACTGAAGCCATAACTGGTCTGCCTTGCTTGGAAGAAGCTCTGGATTGCTTCAAAGAGTCTGGATTGTTGTCGTTCGTCACCGACCAAGAGCACTGGAACGAAGAATTGCTGCTCCAATTCTATGCCACTCTTCACATTCGTGGCTACAACAGAGATCCGAAGACTTGGGTCCTTGAGTGGATGACCGACAATGTTCATCACGAAGCCAAAGCCTTTGATATCATTGAGGTCACTAGTCTGCCCACTCCTGAAGATCTTTTTGAACCTGGTTGTCAGCTTCACAGTGCAGCTATGGAGAGCATCTTTCAGAAGCCTGAACCGAACATGAGTCAGATGCTTAGCATGATGAAGCCTTTGCCTCCAGATGCTGCATATCCTAAGGAGTTCTTTGTTGACGACCTTGAGTATCTGCCACGCACTATCTATCACATTATCAGGCGAACTCTCTGGCCCATCAAAGGACATTCTCCACATGCAAAGCTAGAAGGTGCAATGAAGACTTTGGTCTTTTATATTCTTTACGGCAAATGCTTCAATGCACAAGACTTCTTCATCCGCCAACTTGCTGCATCAGGATCTGATCTTTTTGGCTTGAAGTTTTACGCTCCATGGATAATGCGGCTGATGAAACTACACTGAGCTGTCTCATATCAGCCCTCTGCTCGCAATCATCAGATCTTTCTGCCTGACATTGATATGTCCGTTGAAGCCATCTGTCCAGAGCCTGCCAAGGAGCCTCTTAGTCTTCAGAATGCTGAGCATCAAAGTTTCTTGCAAAACATTGAAGGAGTTGAAGCAGTCACTCGTGTTTATCCTCTGGCTGGTACTACACGTGCACCTCATCGTGCCCTCACTGAAGCCACTGAAAGCACTATTGCCCAATGGCCCAAGAAGCGATCTCGTGTTCTCAATGACCGAGAGCTTCTAGTTGCCCTTCATCAGAAACAGGATAGGCATCATGACTGGCTGAAGCGCCAAATGCAAAGCCTCTTGGTGGATGTCAACCGCATTCGCAATCTTGCCACCAAGAATGCCTTTGTTGCCCATGAAACCTGTCGGCGTACATGGAAAGGGCTGACGCTTATGTGTTCTGAAGATGATCTTCAAGAGGATGGCTTCTCTGAACGTTTCAAGTTTGACTCCACACCTCCAAGAAGGACTGTGCTGCGACGAACTCCGTCTCTTGAAGACTCTGAGTTCTCTTCCTCCGCGGCAACTATGAATGCCAGAGTGATCGAGGACGAAGATGATGCCACTTCACCGCCCCCTACTTCTGCACGCATTGACACTGCCCCGAGTTCGTCTGCACCGCCGAACAACACCAACGACCTTGCTGCTTCACCTACTCCTCATGGGAACGAGTAGATGCTCTATGTCTTCAAACCTTTTTGGTCCTTACTGACAAAAGGGGGAGAAGCATATGAGTTTGATAGTCTTCAAGCGGGTCCATTTGGGCGGTTGCTTTATGTTTTGCCTACTGTTTACAACTCTCGTTTTGATACATTTGGTTCTTTGAGTTGTAACACTTAAACTTGATGGTCGTCTGCTACTTATTTGCTATTCTGTGATGCGATGATAAATTCTGCATGTGCGACGATAAATTCCGCACTTAGATCATTTTGCAGACGTCCATTTTTCATTATGCATGTCATTATCTTCACATACTTTTCATGCATGATAAATTGTCATCATAAGTTGAAGAGGATCTCCACAAGTACAACCTGCCATGTGCATTTGCATTCCAAAAGCAAATTACTTATATGCACATCTTCAGGGGGAGCCCTTGCAACTTATGAAGACAATTCCCTATCCTTTACATTTCACATATTATATTCCCCGTTGAAAACTTCAACTAGTTTGTCATCAATCACCAAAAAGGGGGAGATTGTAAGTGCATCTAGTGCCACCCCTAGTTGGTTTTGGAGTATTGACGACAAACCTAGTTGAGGGACTAATGTGTTTGTGAGAATTGCAGGATAACACAGATAGAAGTCCCTCATTGATTCGGTTTTCCTACCAAAGATGACCCCTAAAAATGTATGAAGACATTGAAGTCAAAGGTGGTATGTGAAGACATTCACATTGAAGACTATGACAAGAGAAGACATCGCGTGAAGTCTATGGAGCGCGAAGACTTAGCAGTTTTGTCGTTCTGTGTTTTTCTTTGTTGAGTCATAGGAACCACCGTACTGTTAAGCGGGGTCCAAGAGAACCAGTCAGAATGACTGAAGTGATGCTTAACCAAAATCCTATATCTTCGAGTGAAGACTATGAGAGCAAATCTTGTCCAGAGTTGGATAAGTCAGCTTTGCTTGTAGCCCAAGTAAAGCTGTCGTGTGTGTTTGAAATCTGACCGTTGGAACACGTGTCAGTTCCTTAGTGACCCAGGGTCATTTCGGACAAATCAGGTCGGGTTGCCTAGTGTCTATAAATAGCCCACCCCCTACAACCATAAACGGTTGGCTGCTCAGAGTTAGAATACGACTTTTGTCGTTTGAGAGCAACCCACCTCGAAGCTTTTGAGAGAGAATTCCTTGCAAGGACAAAGCCCTAAACACCCAGAGCCAAAGAGTGTTAGGCATCACTTAAGTCTTCTTATCTGTGTGATCTGGAGACTTATTACACTTGAGGACTGTGAATTCTCCAGCCGGTTAGGCGTCGCGTTCTAAGCATCCAAGAGTCATTGTGGATCGCCGGCGAACGAAGTCTGTGAAGGTTTGGAAGTCTACCTTGAAGACTTACCAGAGTGATTGGGCGATGATTGGGTGTCCTTAGCTCAAGGGGAATAAGGTGAAGACGAGGTCTTCTGAGTTGAATCTCAGCCTCCCTAACCAGACGTACAGTTGTCACAGCAACTGGAACTGGTCCAACAAATCATTGTTTTCAACGAGTCACTGGTTTCATCCTTCCCTTCCCTTTACTTACTGTTGGTCCTTATAAAGTCATTGTACGATTGCATCACCATTTGGCTTCACTGAGTGATTACTTGTTCTGATTGGCTTCACAATATCTTCCTACCTGATCCTTACTGCCTAGCTGCTATTAGTCACTGTGCTTTCACTTCATTGAATACTTGACTATGGTTTGCCTAGTGTAGTCTACCTTCCGCTGCATGGTAATAGGTTTATTTCTATTGTTTGTCTTTGAAACTTACATGTTTTGAAGACTTTCATAAAAATCGCCTATTCACCCCCCCTCTAGTCGATCACTAACACTTTCAGGTTGAATACTCTACCTTCGAAAACTGTTGCGATCCTCTATACTTGTGGGTTATCAGCCGCCATGTCGAGCTCCTTTGTCCTCTGCTCAGAGCCCTCCTATTCGCCCCTCTGGACGCCGAAGCCCTTCCCCTTGATCTTCTGGCTTGCGTGCTACTACACTAGAGTCGTTTCCGGCGTCACTCATCTCGGCCTACTCTCTGTCGTCCTCCTATTGCACTGACGCTGCAATGGTGCACACACTGCTTTCTTGTGTCCTCTGTCTCCGTGCACACTGCAGTTCGCCGCGCCGCTGATGGGGTCGATCATCTTCGCCTCCTCTCTCTCGCCCTACTACACTGGAGTCGTTTCCGACGTCGATCATCTCAGTCTCCTCTCTCTTCCACTGCAGTGACGATACCATGGCGTGAGCACTGCATTCTCCTCCTCTGTCCACTGTCTTTGCGCGAGCACCGCACCTAGTTCGCCGACGGTGTCACTCGTCGTGCCGCCGACGGGGTCGCTCGTCCACGACTCCATGCTCGTCATGTCGGACACGACACCACGACCACTATCCACCGCAGTCGCCATGGTCCGACGCACATTGCATTTCTTCTCCCCTTTCCTCTGCTAGCTCTTAACCCTGTGTGCTAAGTGCAAGTGCTAGCTCTTAATCATACCCCATGTGGGCAATCAAACAACGTGTAGTTGCATGCGCCGAGACAATGCAGGCAACCAAACAACGTGCCAAAGTTGATCTCCTAATGCAGGAAGTCCATATGCAGACAACCAAACAACTTGCAGATGTCGCATATGAGGTTGTTTTTCGAGAGCCAGACTGAGTGGAGAAGGGTATGCAACGCAGGTACTGTAGCGCACGGCAACCAAACACGTCCTTAGAGTCGCGTAGGGTCTGATCCTTTTTGGGTGATGAATTGAAATGGCTGTGAACATGTCATACTGATGAGAGTTAAGCATGTGAACACATTTTGGTAAAGATAACGATGAAAGGCTATGTAGGAATATATGGTGGGTTGTCTCATTGAAACCGTTCTTAAGAACCGAGTCATGTGTATGTGATCCAAGACAATTACTAGCCATGAAATACGATCCCGTTCGACTTATTAATCGTCTTGATTTCTACCCTAGGCCTCCTTTGGTTTGTAGGAATCTCATAGGATTTCTATAGGATAGGATTTGCATAGGAAATTTTCCTTTGAAGCCCTTTGGTTTGTAGAAACAGATTCCTATTCATATATAGAATAGGAATCAATCCTTCACATTTTGGAGGGAAAAAAACATTAGGTAAGACTCAATGGAAAAATTCCTATCCTATGCATCAAATGACATCTCTTTCTCTATAGGAATTGAGATACATGTCATCTCACTTCCTATGATCTTTCTATTCCTATAACATTCCTATCCTGTGAACCAAAGAAGGCCTAAAATTGCAACTAGTTTCTGATATTTATAGGATATGTGCTGGGGTACACGCTGCCCGACGGGGTAGGCTTCAGTGTGGTAGATGCACGTGGCAGGAATAAAAACAGATCATCGAAGACCATCACCGGCCGATTGATTCGATGATCATCTGGAAAATCGGATGCGTTGGTATTTGTGTATGGACGGACAAGATTAATTGAGTTTAATAATCAGAAAAAGGTGAAAAATCTAAAACGCTACTGTACCATTTTCGGTGTTCCGAACTTCGGGCTGTCGTTCCCCTGGTATCGACGAGCAATAAAAAAACAGCAGCGGCAATGCTGGCTCCTCCCGCCCCCATCCGTGCCCTCGCCTTCCACCGCCGTCTCCCGCTCCTCCGCCCCCACCATCCCACCCTCCTTCCCCACTCGCCAGGCCCGCCTCCGCCTCCGCCCCCGCCCCCGCGGCCCTGCCCCGCCCCCGCGCGCTTTCTCATGGCCTTCTCCACCGAGACAGCCGGCGAAGAGGCGGAGGAGGAGGCTCTCCCCGGGCCCGCCGGCGCTGGAGGCGGCGGCGAGGTGAGTTCGGAGGAGTGGCAGCGGTGGGGCACCTCCTCGCCCCTCCCGACCGTGGTGGCCTCCGTCGTCCGCCAGCTGCTCGAGATGGAGTCCTCGGCCGGCGAGAAGATGCGCTTTGGCGGCGTCGGCTCCAAGCTGAAGGTAACGCGGCCTTTTTCTTAAACCCCATACCGGATCTAGAGGTTATGGCTGCTTCCGTGCTCGACGTAGCTGGGATTGAATCGACGGGAATGCTAGCGAATTCACGACTGGACTTTTCTCTGAACCCGCAGGGCGATTTCAAGGACGTGGAGGACAGGAAGCACAGGGCTGTCTACCAGACGCTCGCCGACTCCGACCAGAAGCTGCAGTACTACTCCGCCCGGCAGATTGGGTGCCGTCTGCTCGGGAGCAGGGGGTACTTGTGCCAGAAGGTAGCGTACGAGTCCTTAAAGGAATTCAGTGTTATTCACAATGCAGCAACCCTGGTTCAGACGTTTACTGAACTGAAGCTTGTTTGTAGTGCTGGCTACCAATGGAGGATTGTATGTGCTCAAAACTTGCCCCTTGCAATTTGTGGAGGGGAATAAGATTCTGGCTATACATGCATCCAAAGGTCTGTCCAAAGATTTTATGCTTTGTTTGCTGCTATGTCCTTGCTTTGGATTGTGCAAGCATCTCTGTTCTTTCAGGACTTCTTGCGACAAAACAACACTGGAAAGTTACTCTGGCAAGTATTTGGCATCCAAGCTGCGTCGTTGTGCCTCTTTGGCATCCAAGAGCATGAAGATATTATGTGGGATGCATTCCAGCGTTCAGGTAATCTTAAACCCACCTTAGATAAACAAACATGTGGATTCTTGCTTGGGATGAGAGCTTGTAGACCCTAGCCATGTCTGTTCAGATAGGTTCCACTTGCTATGTTTACTTTGATTTACTTATTTGCGTAGTGTGGAATGGTTGGTATGGATCCGAGATCAGGCGCTTCTGCCTGCCAGCAGGGCTCTCCTCCTTTGCTGTGGAGGGAGGCTCTAAGGTCTACTTGAAATTATGGGGAGAGACTAGAAATCTTGTTTTTCTTTTGTTTAATCAATGGTCCATCCTTACATAGATGGATGCTACAGTAAACAGTGCGAACAGTAGCTGCTCTACCTTTTGCTGTTTTTGATCCCACATCCTTAACAGCTTGAAATTGAACAAATTGACATCCAAGGCTACCTTTTGTTTTGTGATTCCATTAGTGTATTGTTTGTACCGAATTATGTGTGTTGTTTCTGTTCCATTTCTGTTTCCAGTTTCCATTTAGGGTTTTTGTTTTGTTTTAATTACAGCGAGTGAGTCTACCTTGCACTGGATGTTTCAGCTAATCTTTATAGCTTTTGAACTGAATCCTTTGTTCCAGTTACATTGATTGATCATGGTAGAACCACACAAGCAAATGTTCCACACAAACAAATGCAGATTGCAAGCATCAATGCTTGGATCATTTTAGTAGGAATGAATTGTTCTGCAGACCCTATTCCTTTTTAGTGGAGCCTTGTGACCATGGCGCAGTGGTAAAGCTGCTGCCTTGTGACCATGAGGTCACGGGTTCAAGTCCTGGAAACAGCCTCTTGCAGAAATGTAGGGAAAGGCTGCTTACAATAGACCCAAAGTGGTCGGACCCTTCCCCAGACCCTGCGCAAGCGGGAGCTACATGCACTGGGGCTGCCCTTTACCCTATTCCTTTTTAGGGGAAATATCCAGTTTAATTACTTGTGCTCCGTAAAAGATTGCTTCAGTAATCAATCCATGCTCTTCACATTTAAATACTGTATTTCCGTTCTGATTTATCCTCCAGGAAAGGAGAAGGTCTCATTTCTGTACCCAAACAAGAGTGCAACCCCCAAGTCTGTCAATGATCTTAAATTTGATGATTTTGCCATGAGTTCTGGCCTTCAGGAGGTGGCGTGTATTTCTTTTCTCTAAGTGTGTGTTCTATAACTTAAAGTTGGTATTATTAGTAGATGGTAATGAGTTAACTTTTGCAATATAGGGAGTGCAACTTGAACCTCTTAACTTGGTTTTGCTTGATGGTACCTGGAGTAATTCTGCTGCATTATACAGAAGGCTGAAGGTACGATTCAGTACATTGCTCATTCACCATACTGCACTCCTATTAGTTTGTGTTCATTTCCTCCTGAATAATCTTTGTTCCTAACTTCCTATATTGATGCAATCTTGGTTTGCTTACACCAAACTAGTTTGGCCGTTCAGGTAACTTTCATCTTTTTTCCTTCTTCCATGTGATTGTCTACTCACGTCAGACAAGGGGAAACCACACGTTATCATTAGGGCTCTGCCTAGGTCCTGTCAGCGAGTGGAGGAGAGCAGATTCTGCGTAGATCCTGTAATGTTGGAAATTTAACTAATTTGGTTCAAGTAAAGAGGGTACCTTAAGGGTCACCAATTCGCACCTCTAGGTTGAAGTCAGAGTGTTAAGCAGGAATGTGTACTAAAGCATTTTAAAATTGTTAAGCAGCTAAGTGGATCCTAATATGTGAGGTTTATAGGAGAGATGGACTGCAATATGGGGGGAGGAAGATATACCTTGTATCTCACTGTCTATGCTGAGCGCCTCTGTGATGCATAAACTGCGGTGAGCTAAAAGCTAAACTTTTTTGTGTCAATATCGGTGGTTTTCTTTGCGTCTCTTACTCTTATTTACTTTTGCTGATATATTTCCGTAAAACAGACCTCAGCCAGCATGGGATCGTACCTGCACCGCGGCAGCCGCAGCTGGTCTTCTCTCAGAACTGCACATGCGGCCTGAGCTCAGTGCGTTTAAACTAGAAGAGCAAGCTGAGGCAGTAGAGTGCTCGCTGGATATCTTGCTAGACGCTCTCACCGCGAGACGGGTTCGCCTGGGCCGATCAATTACTCGAAAGCAGAGACATAGAAGAGACTGCATATAGTGAAAGATGCCAGCAGCGTCGGCGGAGATCATAATATTTCCTTGAAGGCTGTTTGATCTTTTTGCAGAATCGGAAGAGAATTGCTCATATAATTCTTTAGGTCACTAACTCATCACCCTGGTGGTGTTCATTTTGTTAGTGGTTGTGTGTTGATGTTACTGCTTACCTTACCTTTAAGAGCAGAATTTTGGTAACCAACTGGTATGGAAATTAAACGTGTAAGTTACACGCTTTGTAGCTACGATATTAGGAACAGTCCGAAATGAAAAAGAAAATTATATTTGATTAATGTTAATTTTTCCCTTGTCCATAGCGTTTCTTTCTGAACCTGATAATCCACAGGTGCTTATGGCTCCTTTTGATGCTGGTGTTGTGTTCATGTGATGAATAGCAGAGTTATATTCCTGACAAGCTAATCAATCAACAGGAAGTTGGTGGTATGTAGTTCAGGATTGTTCCATATCCCTACAGCCATTGAACTGTTCTTGTGAATGTCTTGTATTCCACACTGATGCCTGCAGGAATCAGAGCGGAATCAGAATCAGCAGTAGATATCACTCGTGCTCTTGAACCCTGAACTTGAGCTCATTGCTCACCAACCTTGAGGGGTACAGATGGTAGAGATAACTGCAAGCAAACTTGCAATCTCACGGCGTATTTTGCAAACTTGCGAATTTGTAACACCACCATTGATCGATCCCCATTCCCATTCGGTTCCCAGATCCTCTACTCCCATAGAGCTGACAATAATTAAATCAACATTGAAAAATGATGATACAACCCCCTCTCAAACCGTTAAGGGCTCCTTTGATTCACAGGGTTTGAGAAGTGTAGGAATAGGAAACATACAGGAACAGGATGTACTGTCAACTGAAATCCTACGTCAGGTAGCAAAACAGAGGATTTTTTCCATGAAGTCCAACCTCATGCTTGTTTTCCTGTGAAAATGAACTAAGAAGTTCCTATAGGATTGGTTCCTGAGGAATGCAATCCAGTGAATCAAACAGCACGTAAAGGAAAACTTCTAGAGGGTGTCAATCCTGTAAAATTCCTATGCAAATCCTATGAATCAAAGGAGGCCTAATTTGGTGAAAGCACTCTCATCGTCACTCAGTCCCCTCAAATCCTATTCCCATCACATCCTAATCCCTTACAATCAGTCCCTCTCTTCAAAAATATTGTTTGGTAAGCACGGATTGAAGAAAAAAAAGTTATCCATTCGATTCCCTTTGCGTCTTGGCAACAACACAACAGCAACTGAAACAGAAAAGGGAAACAACAACTGAAACATAGACAATTTTGATTTACGTCTTGGCAGTAACATCTGCCATTCAATCACCACAATTTCCATACAACATATGCATCTATTTATCCAGCACCAGGTACACCTGCCTGCCTGCCTGCTGATCCGGCGCAATGTGCGCCAGTTTCGGTTGAATCAGCGGTACACAAGCAGGCTCCAGATTCCCGAGCCGTTGGCCCAGCCCAGGCAGTGTGAAAGCAATGACCAGACACAACTGCCATAAAACAATATGCTACTAGTTGCAACCATGGGCGAGAGACACAGAGGACAGAGCACTTTTGACTTTGCTTAATCAAGGCGAAAGCCAATCATGTCCCAGACAGAGGAAATACCACTAGTTAATCCCCCAAGGTTCTTGCTTGGAGTTGAGCCTATATGGTACAGTGCTACGGGAAAACAAAGCACTTCTTCTGGATCCAGTGGGTAGCTGCCCTCCCCTGCCCTGCACATATTTAGTGAAAGATTGATATCAGTAAGCTGGGGTTGTTGTTGTTGTTGAGAAGAGTATCTTTAGAGTTTGTGATTATGATGCGACCCAGCAGCATGGTCATGAGGAGGGCTGGGCGGGCCCATATGCACGGGGCAGAAATGATGAACACTACTGCATGGAAAGAAAAGAAAGCAACCGAGTGTCCGGTTCAGCATCCCAACCAAATCTCATCCTGACCTCTCTCTTTTCTTTTGATTTGAGCCTTTTGGTAACCTGGATGGATGCACACTGTGAGCCAAAAGCATCTTCACCAACTGACTAGATGTGGTTAACTCAGTGCCTAGCCGGCCCTAGCCGGCTAGCCCTACCGACTTCACTTCACTTCACTCTGCAGTGCTTTGCCTGTCAGTCACCTGCTCCTTGCTCTACATCGAAATGTATTACCACCATAGCCGTGGGGGTACATGTAGTAGACTAGCTGATAATATAACTAGGAAAGTACGCAGTCCTACATATGCAGTCAACATCCAGTAGAGTGACTGGAGCAGTTGTTATCTTATCACAGATTCACAGGTCTCCTGTTGCCTTAATTGCCTAGAAAAGAGGGTAGGTCTCCTGTTGCCTTGCCTTGCCTTGCATGGCACTATTATATGCTGTTTCTGCCGTTGCCGGGCCATCACCACAGCTACTCTTCCAGCACTAGTTAAACAAATACCTGTCGTGCTAATGACTAACCCCCGCGGCCTTCTTCCTCCCAGCTCGTTGAATTCATCGCCATGAGTGCTTCCCCACTTCTGCACCACCATCGCCATAGTATCATCCTGTACTCCCATCCAGCTTCCTCATCAAACGAGACCTGAGAGAGGCAAAAGAACAGAGGGCTAGTCAGGATGGTGGAAGCGGTGGGGCTTTTCCAGGGAAGAGGCGCCTCCGCCGCCACGGGGATGCGCGGCGCCCCGGAGGAGGTGCAGATGGGGGAGACATTCATCTTCTCTGAAACCATCAAGGTCAGTTTATCCGTCAAATTATGCTCGTGTTTCTCCCTATTCCCCTAGAATGATGCACCTTCCCTCCACCTTCTTTAGAACTAACTCGACGGTCGACGCCCAAATGCTTTAAAAATAGCACCAAATCAGGCATTTGGAGCAGATATTGCTTGGGCACTTTCATATCAACAGCAACCTCTCTATGCAGGATCTCATGACGCTGCGGTCGCAACTGTATTCTGCAGCGGAGTATTTTGAACTAGCCTACATGCAGGAAGACGGAAAGCAGGCGTATGTCATATAGCCATTGCTTCCTCCCGTATGCCGCACAAGATCATGTGGCTGATCAGCAAGCTTCCACGCTTTTGCAACTCATGCCTGGTTTGCTCATTTTTATTTATTTATGTGTATGCATATGGAAACAGGGTGGTGAGTAACCTGAAGGAGTACGCTGTGAAGGCCCTCGTCAACACTGTAGACCACCTAGGGTCCATATCCTTCAAAGTCTCCAGCCTTGTTGGTCAAAGGTTCGACCAGGTGGCCGAAGCCAATCTGCGGGTCTCCTGCATCCAGCAGGTTTTAGTTAGTGCCTCCTGAGCTCAGCAGTAATTTCCGTGTAATATTATGCTTTCAGATTAACGAAGCGGTTGGTTTCAGAGAACTCAAGCGAGCCAAGCATGCATGAACAGAGAAGGCCTGACGCAGCAATCGTTGGTGATCACCGCCCCAAAGTATCACAAGAGGTACATCTTACCAGGTGAGTAAGTAGCCATAAGATATTTTTGTGCCTTTCCTGTGACTCTGTTTTCTAGCTTGTCGACACGTTGAAGATGCAAGAGAAGTGAATAAGAGTCAACCTGGGCGAGACATCTTGACCCCTTAAGTGATTTCAGCAGGAGATGATTCAATTCCGAATGCTGTGCCCAACTTCAGCGAGATGAATAAGGTGAAGAACAGGACCACACAGATGCATCCAGCCTTCAGCTGTAAGGATCTGCAATTCATGAATTATGGGCGTGTATTAGATACCTTGAACTTGATTTTGACCTGAAACGCCTACGTGTTGGCAGCAACATCTGCAGCTCAAACAAAAAGCAAAGACAAGCAAGCTTCATTCCGGTCAGTTTCACTTTGCAAACTGCAAATCAGCTTGGGTTTCTTACTTTGCAGCTGAGTTGCCAAACTGACAGCTACCATTTGCAGCAAGCTCCGGTCGATTGCCCGTGCACCTTCCCAGCGTGCGCGTTCATCCTCTCCAGCACAGCATACACGCTTCGTGCCACCTTCTGATACTGCAATACCCACCAAAAGAGGTACAGTAGTAATAAGTCCAATCAACAACTGATGGTGGTATAGCAGTAAAATTTCTCGATTAATTAAATATACTAATGCTCTGTTGCCAATTTTGTTTCTGTGAAACAGATAAAAGATCGGATTCGCCGATTTCTTCGACAACTCCACTCACCAGGTCTGGGTCACTCTCAAAGAAGCCATCCTTGCTCAAGACATCAAGTGTAAGGGTCCAGGTAAATCAAGATGGCTTGTGAGCACAAGATTACCAGGAATGATATGCCTTCCAACACTGACACGATATTTCATGTTACTGAATATGCAGACACCTTCAGATCCCAAGAGATTGGCACCGCTGCGGTCATATGCTGACAGATACAACGATGATCCCAAGGAAAGTGAGCAGACCCCGAAGAAGAGCAAGAAGTTCCTCAAGTCGCTGCTCAGTAGGCGCAAGTCAAAGAAAGAAGAACCACTGCCCTGCTACTTTGATGACTACTGACTCCTGACACCAGATGGCACCACAATTTCTGAATACTTCTGCTCCTCAGTCTTTCCATGGCAAAGTGCGATCGGCCCTTGATATAAAGATCTTCATTGTATATAGCAACACAATTACAGCTCGTTAATGTTAATAATATATGCGCAAGACAGGGAGTTCCGGGAAGATGTCCCGATTCCCCTTATCTGGTTTCCCCACTTTTTGTTGTGTGGCATGCATCATGAGTTAGCCTTTTTGTTCACTCTCCTGATAATCTCAGCAATCAGCAGTATACAAAAACTTGGAATATGTAGCTGTGAGCAGCAATCAGGAAGTAGCGCTTCAGCAATCTGATCTCAGTGTTCAAGTATTTTGTCGTCACTTGGGTGTATGTACCACGGACAGAGTATAATGCTGCCAACGCATAGCAGCTCTCCTCTGCAGTAAATTACTTCACCTGAAACAGTAGCCACACGAAGTATAGTACAACTCTGGTTGCATAAGCCCATCAAATGTTCTTTTCTATCTACTATGTGAATCTATGATACACAAGACACACAACCAGAGAGAGAGAGAATGCTAATCGAACAACATGACATGCCAAATCTGATTGGACAGTAGCTAGAACATGCATGCAGAGAAATAATGTCATTTTTCTTACCATCTGGAATGGAAAACATGCTACAATTTCCAGTTGGCAGCTCAACCGGCATGAGCTACATGAAGAGGAAGTCTGGAGTTGCTTCTACCACCTCTGTTCCTAAATGTAAGACTTTTTAGAGATTTCAATACGGACTACATACGGAGCAAAATGAGTGAATCTACACTAAAATATGTCTATATACATCCGTATGTAGTCCGTATTGATGAAATATCTAAGAAGGCTTATATTTAGAAACAGAGGGAGTAGTTTAGTATTACAAGTTTGCAATTTGGACTTGTTTTTCGCGTAGACTTGGTATAACTTTTTGACAAAAGGCTGAAATTCCTTGATTTGTTTTAGGCAAGAATTCTCAACTTCTGATTAGCTGTATAAAAATTGAATACACAAAAAAAGTTCAGGACTAGCATTCGAGATAGTGCTCTGAAGAGCATAAATGATAGAGTCAAAAGGCATGTCCTAGGTTATCTAATATAACTTGCAAGACTACGCTTGCAGCACTGGAGCTTCACCAGTAAGTTGAAAGACTGAGTTCAGCAACAACAATTCATTTTATGTTCAAGGGGTCTTAGAACTTATCTCTATCATATACTCGCTTTAGAAACAACAGCCCTACCAACTAACAGTTCATGATCATCATCTAACAAAAAGGAGAACACTCTGGAAAAAAAGGACAATTGCAATGTCTAGCAATGTCGATCAGGAAGGCGGTAGCACTTGAGCTCAAATTCTTCAACATACTGCTCATGGAGCCATCTGATTATAAAACCACAGTATACCAACTAGCCTCACAAGACTTTCAACTTCAAGCCAAAAACCAAAACAAAGAAGAAAAGCTACATAGATGTGCCACTATTCACTATACTGGTAGTATCATACTGAGAGCTTACTATGTATTTACACTCCAATAACTACTAAAGCTTACAGCAAGGAAAAAAGTGCCATGAAAGAAGCAAATTTATGTACCGACAAAAATCACCCACGGCGCTTGCTGAGGCGCCACGAGTTGGGCTCGTTGTATCTGTCGTACAGAGGCTCGATCCTCTCCTGGCGCTTCCGCTTGCTCATCTTTGTCGAGTCCACGGATCTGTAGAACCTCGGCGCCAGCTCGACGAGCCACGCTGGGTTGATGGCTGTCACCTCCCTCATGTACTCTTTTGTGGTCATGACAATCTCATTGTAAATTACCCACTCTGGCTGCTGATGAAATAGGGCGCTGCTTGGGTGGATATACACCTGCTGATGATCGGCAAGAGTCCTGTATCCTCCCTGGGGATCCTTCTTGGCAGAGTTGAAGAAGAAGCCTGCGGCAATGGCCCTCCTTACCTTGGTGAGATCGTTGCCGGCAGAGACGACGTCAAGCCGATACCTGTCCATGATCTCCAGGAGCTGCTTCCTCACATCCTGTGCCCTCCTTAGTGATGTTATCTGGAGAAAATTCTCAAAGCACCATGGTCCTGAAAACTGCTTTGCCTTCCACGCCTGATACACAGTGAGTAACGTGATGTGATCCCCTTCTGGCTGGAAAAAGTTGCCCCTCTTCCGATCCGCCTGATCTTGTTTTTCCCTTGGCCGGTAGAATATATTCCCAGTTTGGATCATTGCAATGATAGTCACTATTTCATCGCTGCATCCAAGGTCCACACTGGCAAGGAGCATTTTTGAAAGTGGTGGTTCTTGTGGAAACTCAGCCATCTTTCTCCCCAGCTTGGTAAGCAGGCCTTCTTCATCCAAGGCACCAAGACTGTACAGCTGTTCCATAGCAGAGATAAGCGCTTGAGGTGCTGGAGGGTCCATGAAGTCAAATGACACTAGTTCATTTATCCCCATTGCCTTCATATTAAGAACCGTCCACCCCAGGTTAATCCTCTGAATTTCTGGAATTGTCGTGGCGGGCATTTCATTACGATAGGCGCTCTCAGTGTACAGACGGTAACACTTGCCTGGGCCCGTACGCCCAGCACGTCCTGCTCTTTGCTTAGCTGATGCCTGTGAGATCGGAGTGATAACCAGTGAATCCAGTCTTCGTTTTGGGTTATACACGTTAAGTTTTGCAAAGCCTGGATCAACAACATAGTATATCCCATCTATTGTAATAGATGCTTCAGCTATGTTGGTGGCCACAACCACCTTCCTCTTCCCAGGAGGAGCAGGTTCAAAGATCTTTGACTGCATTTCAGTTGGAAGAGCACTGTAAACTGGATTGACTAGCAACTCTGGTACATCGTTACCCAGCACCTTCATCCTCTCATGAAGAGAGTTACAGGCATGATCAATCTCTTCCTGGCCAGTCAAGAACAAGAGGATATCACCTTCGGGTTCACTCAGATGGATCTGCAATACTGTGATCAATGCAGCATCCATGTAGTCGCTCTGTGGCTCCTTTGCATATAGTGTCTCCACGGGAAACGTTCTCCCTGGAATCGTGAAAATCTTGCAATCGAAAAAATATCTAGAGAATTTCTCTGCATCAAGAGTGGCGGAAGTGACAATTAACTTGAGATCAGTTCTCCGCCTAATGAGCTGCTTCAGCAAGCCAAAGAGAATGTCTGTATAGATGGTCCTCTCATGTGCCTCATCAAGCATGACCACAGAATAACAAGAGAGGTTCTTGTCTACCATAATCTCCCGTAGGAGCATGCCGTCTGTCATGTACTTAATAACCGTATCAGGTCCAGTGTGATCGTCAAAGCGTATAGAGTAGCCAACTTCCTCTCCCAATGGACAACCAAACTCCTCTGCTACCCGCTTTGCAACAGACTGAGCAGCAACCCTGCGAGGCTGCGTACACGCAATTTTCCCACCTTCAGTATAGCCTGCCTCAGCAAGGTACTGAGTAACCTGCGTAGTTTTCCCTGACCCTGTCTCCCCGATAACAACCAAAACTTGATTGTGATGAATAGCTTTGATAAGCTCATTCTTCAGCCCGTAAATGGGAAGGCTCTGCCTCTGCTTCTGTATCGGAAGGCTCGACCTCTTCCCAAATGTTCCGGTCTTGCCATAAGCCTGTTTCTTCCACTCTGGCATGCTCTGTGCTGATAAGCCGGCACCCCTCAGTTCCTGTGCGAGGCACCGCCCACCTGCATCAGGTAAAGGATCCTCCCACGGCCGATTCAGATCCTTGGGGATGGAATCAAGCAATGCTCTCTGCTCTTGGCTACGAATATCACGCCGTTCCTTGACAAGCGCAGTCTGCAGTGCCGCGGCTCGGCTTAGTGACCCCTCAGGGCTCTTGGAAATCCTCACCGGGGACAAGTCAATCGATGACCGGCCCTGTCCACTTAAGAACGGTGGCTCATCTTCGTTAAGCTCAATCTCGAGCTCCTCCTCAACTTCTTCTTCCTGGTAATGTATCCCCACATCATCATCATCGAACGCAGGGCAGTCTCTCACATTCAGTGCCCCCGAAGCAATCAGCTGTTTCAGTTCCCATCTCTCCGGGGAGCTCATTCGCCTGACCGGCCTTCGTGGTGCAGGCCGAGCACCTTCCTCCTCGATCACAATTCCAGACAGCCCAATCCTCTTCCCAGCGGTGCCTGCAGGACCAGCAGATCGATTCGCCCTTCGAACAGCAACCTGACCATCGCCCCGTGGTGGCGGGAGCACCCTTCCACTTTCCTGATCGATGTCCACCATCGACAATTCCAGATTGCCCCACTGCACGGACACGACCTTGACAAACACCTCCTGGCCGCGCTTCACGGCGACGGGCATCCGGGAGGTGTGGACGAGCCCCTCGCGGCCGCGCGGCCCGTCGAGGCGGACGAAGCACCCGGCGCCCACCACCCGGGTGACCGTCCCGTGGCACACCTGGTGAAGCTCCGGCTCCCCAGCCCCTCCTCCTCGTCATCATGGCTCCTGGTGCCGGTACTGGCGCCATCGGCGGTGGGGTTTCGGGGGGCAGGAGCGGCGTCGGGGATGGCGCGGATGACGGTGTGGAGGGTGCGGGCGAGGTAGTCCGGCACCACGAAGTCGTGGTCCTTGAGCTTGGCGTCGAACTCGGCGACGGAGGGGGAGGCGCGGCCGAGGTGGACGATGAACTCGGCGACTTTGCGCTGGACGTCGCCGAGGTGGGCCTCCAGCTCCGAGCAGACCTTGGAGACGAGGGATAGATAGGTGAGCCTTCGGATCCCTTCGCTCGCCGCGCCGGCCGGGCTCGCCTTCGTCATCGGTGCGCGGGCGCCGGCGGTGGGTGTTCGCGCCGCGGCGAGAGAAAGAGGATTCGTCAGAGTCGGCGGAGATGCGTTGTTTGCTCGAGTATAAATGTAGATTTAGGGCCCAAATCATACACGGCTCGGAGCCGAAGTCGGTTTCTCAAGTCAAGGCGGTTTCGTGTCGAGTTCTTTTTTTTTCTTTAATGATGAAGCCACGTTTTATTCATCGAAAATACCAGTCTGTGGGGATGGTCGTGGGGTTGAATCAATCAATCAATCATACACTTCTATACGTAAAAAAAAATCATACACTTCTGATTTTTTTAGTCAAAATTGCCGATTTATTTAAGGCGACTACTGGGCGCCGGCGCGCCGGCCCAAAATTGAGCTGGTCAGTCTACAGCCGCACGATTGCGTACAACCTCATCGTTGGATATTCCCCCGCAAGTACGTCGTCTTCCTCTCCTTCACTTATGCATCTCTCCTTCTTGTTTCCCCCTCGCCCCTCCTCACCTGCAGCTCCTCCTCTCACATTCGCATCAGCTCTTATCGCCGCTGGTTGTAGTTTGACGTCGGCCGTCGCCGCTAGCATGCAGCTCCCATGGTCACCAGTTGCAGCTTTGTTTTGCTTGGTTGTAGCAAAACCAATCGCCGGTGGTAGCATCCCCGACCACGTCCACCAGACATAGTCAAAAAACTTCTTGAGCTACCCTGCACCGTTGCAGCCATGCCGTCGCTGCTTGACGCAACACTGCACGTGGTTGCAGCATCCACGTTATGCGATTGCACCATGAAATGCTTTTGTGGTCGCAGACCCACTCGCCGTCGTCGGGTAACAGCCTCACTGTTGTAGTTTGCAACCTTGCCGTCGTAGCCTCGCCGTCGTCGGTTAGCAGCCTCGCCATTGGAGCTTGCAATCTCACCATTGTAGCCTCGTCGTTGTCGGTAGCAGCCTCATCGTTGCAGCTTGCAACCTCCTTGTCGTAGCCTCGCCATCGCGACCTCGCCGTTGAAGCTCCAGTAGTAGCAAATGACACCTTCGTTAGTAGCAAACTCCGAAACGGTTGCAGCAAAAAAAAACGTCGCCGTCGCCGCAACCAACACCACCATGGTGGATTGTAGCAAAAGTTGTCTCCGGTTCCAGCAAAATTCAAACACGGTTGCAGCAAAAAAAAAACATCACCGCTGTCTCGACCAACACTGACATGGTGGATGTAGCAAAAGTTGACTGTGGTTCCAACAAAAATCAAGTATAGTTCGAGCAAAATTCAACATGGATGCAGCTCGTATTCCCAACTATTCCAGCTTTTTGGCGCCAACGGTGGGTGCCGATTGTAGCACCGTGGGAGTTTGGGGGCGTGTCTTCTCCAGCGCCGACGGGTGTCGGTCGCAACTTTCCAGCATCTCACATCGAGGTTGCCGGTTTTCCGGTAAGGCTCGTCTGCATCGCCCGTCAGCTCTACCATGTTCAGATAGGGTTGATCAGAGGAGGGGGTCGCTGATGGAGGCCCATGGCGGTGGCGCTTGGTGAGAGACCACTGACGAGGAGAACGCCTCAAACCATGTGCGCGGTGGGAGAGAGACAAGTATAGAGAAAGACAAGTGGGCGTGTGTGAGAGAGAAAAGTATAGAGAAAGAGAGGTGGATGCGTGAGAGAGAGAGGATAGAAGATAAGGTGGGGCCCCTCCCTTATGTGTCGAACCTTGAACGACTAGGAGCGCATGCGCGTGCACGCGACCAGCCGAGCGTTCGGCCGGCGTGTCGATTGTAAACGTTTTCCTTTATTTAATTGTAAAAGTTCAGAATCTCATCCGAGATTACATCAAGCACACAGTCTGAGGTAACCCCCAACGCCTTACAAAGTTCATCACCAACATCGACTCCATCTAATTTATGTGCGGCAACATTAGTAGAATGATAAACCCACGACACTTAAAAATCGGAGAAAGATGCAAGCATCAACTGGATCTCTTGAATCCATGGACCCGCACTGGACATCTCCTTTCCTGGATGATTCAGAATGTGCACAACACTTTGGGAATCAAGCTCAACATGGACCCTCTCGGCGTTGATTTCCCGTGCTTCTTGTAGGGCGCATCTGCAGGCCAAAATCTCCACCGTTTCGGGGTCTACAACGCCATGGAAGTGATGACAGAGTTTGTTGGAAATATGCCCTAGAGGCAATAATAAAGTGGTTATTATTATATTTCCTTAATCATGATAAATGTTTATTATTCATGCTAGAATTGTATTGACCGGAAACTTAAATACGTGTGTGGATACATAAACAAATACCTTGTCCCTAGTAAGCCTCTACTAGACTAGCTCGTTGATCAAAAGATGGTTAAGGTTTCCTAACCATAGACATGTGTTGCCACTTAATAACGGGATCACATCATTAGGAGAGTGATGTGATGGACAAGACTCATCCGTTAGCTTAGCATATGATCGTTCAGTTTATTGCTACTGCTTTCTTAATGTCAAATACATATTACTTCGACCATGAGATCATACAACTCCTGGATACCGGAGGAATACCTTGTATGCTATCAAACGTCACAACGTAACTGGGTGATCATAAAGATGCCTTACAGGTATCTCCGAAGGAGTCTGTTGAGCTGGCATGGATCAAGATTGGGATTTGTCACTCTGTATCGGAGAGGTGTCTCCGGGCCCTCTCGGTAATACAACATCACAAGAAGCTTGCAAGCAAAGTGACTAAGGAGTTAGTTACGAGATGATGTATTATAGAACGAGTAAAGAGACTTGCCGGTAACGAGGTTGAACTAGGTATGGAGATGCCGACGATCGAATCTCGGGCAAGTAACATGTCGACGAACAAAGGGAACTACGTATGTTGTCATAAAGGTTCGACCGATAAAGATCTTCATAGAATATGTAGGAACCAATATGGGCATCCAGGTCCCGCTATTGGTTATTGACCGGATAAGCATCTCGGTCATGTCTACATCATTCTCGAACCCATAGGGTCTGCACGCTTAACGTCTGTTGACGATATAGTATTATATGAGTTATATATGTTGGTGACCCAATGTTGTTCGGAGTCTCGGATGAGATCACGGACATGACGAGGAGCTTCGAATGGTCCGGAGGTAAAGATTGATATATGGGATAATAGTGTTTGGTCTCCGGAAGGGGTTTTGGATGTTTCCCGAAATGTTCGTGTACGAGAACACTTTATTTGGGCCAAGGGGTAAAGCCCACGAAGCTTTAGGAAGGTGCAAAAGGAGTTTTGCGGAGGACAGGGGGCCAGACGCCAGGGACCCTGGCGTCTGGTCCTGGAGTCCGAGAAGGACTCTTTCCTTGCGTGCCAAACCGACTTTGAGGAGGCTCTTTCTTCAAGAAACGATCCCAGGGCTCAACATATAAATAGAGGGGCAGGGCTAGCACCCGGGACACATCAAGATTCACCAAGTTGTGTGCCGGCAACTCCCGTCCTCTCTAGTTTATTCTCCATCCAGTTTCCGTTATGCTTGGCGAAGCCCTGCGGAGATTGTTCTTCACTACCACCATCACCATGTCGTCGTGCTGCCGGAACTCATCTACTACTTCGCCCCTCTTGCTGGATCGAGAAGGCGAGGACATTATCGAGTTGAATGTGTGCTGAACACGGAGGTGTCATACGTTCGGTACTTGATCGGGACGGATCGTGAAGGTGTACAACTACATCAACCGCGTTGATAAACACTTCCACTTAGCGATCTACAAGGTTATGCAGATGATCTCCCCCTCTTGTAGCTATACATCTCCTTGGATAGATCTTGCGTGCGCGTAGAATTTTTTCATTTTCCATGCAATGTTCCCCTTCAGTGGCATCATGAGCAAGGTCTATGCGTATATGATATGCACGAGTAGAACACAAATGAGTTGTGGGTGGTGATGTCCATACTGCTTACCACCAATGTCTTATTTTGATTCGGCGGTATTGTGGGATGAAGCGGCCCGGACCAACCTTACATGTCCACGCACATGAGACCGTTTCCATCGACTGCCATGCAACTTTTTTTTGGAATAAAGGTGGCTGGCGGGTGTCTGTTTCTCCTACTTTAGTTGAATCGAATTTGATTATGGCCGGTCCTTTAGAAGGTTAAAATAGCAAACTTGATAATCGCCGTTGTGGGTTAGCGTAGGTAAGAAGGGTTCTTGCTAGTTGCCCGTAGCAGCTACATAAAACTTGCAACAACAAAGTAGAGGACGTCTAACTTGTTTTTGCAGGGCATGTTGTGTTGTGATATGGTCAAGACATGATGTAATATATGTTGATGTATGAGATGATCATGTTCTGTAACAAGTTCACGACTTGCATGTTGATGAGTACGACAACCGGCAGGAGCCTTAGGGTTGTCTTTAATTATTGTATGACCCGTGTGTCAATCACTAAGCGCCACGTAATTGCTTTACTTTATCGTTATGCGTTAGCAATAGTTGTAGAAGCAATAGTTGGTGAGACGACCCCGACGCTACGATGGAGATCAAGGTGTCATGCCCGTGACGATGGAGATCATGCCTATTCTTTGGAGATGGAGATCAAAAGCACAA